AAAACCGAACCGAAACCCATCCCAAAAAAATGGTTCGGTTCGGTTCAAAATGAAAATCCACTACAGCATTTTTCAAGTTTTGTAATACACAAATTTGTCTAAAAATGCAACCCGTATAGTAAAACTGCAGACATTTTTTTTATGTAATGGCTACTACGCGAGTTGTAATTTCGTCCATATAAAGAATGCTTGATTTTTTTTCTANCATACAAAAAATTGAAAAATGTAAAAAAAAATTGTCAAAAATCAACTTAAAACTTAAAAATTTTCCCTAGAAATTCTTATTAAAATATTTGCAATTTAGATGAAACTGTGCAGAATATTTATAATTTTTTCACAAAGTTTAAAACTTGGACTTATATGCTTAAAAAATAAACATAAATGAACAAAAGAAAAATAGCCAAAACTTGATAAAATGTCGTGTCCCTATTTATTTTTCCACCACTATACTAGGGATAGGTAGGGGAGGGGTTGAAATTCGATATTTTGCTACACACAGTTATGCCAAATTTAGTTTAGCTATTTTTGAAAATAAACGCGAATTCGAATTCGATTTTGTCCGTCCGAATTTTAGCACCCCAAAGTTCGATTTCGAAAATTCGCCATTTTGGAACTAAAATTCGATTAAACTCGAATCTCCTCGAATTTGTACCCTTTAGCTTAAATTGAACCATTTTNCACCCCAAAGTTCGATTTCGAAAATTCGCCATTTTGGAACTAAAATTCGATTAAACTCGAATCTCGAAGCTTCGAATATCGATTTTACCCATCCCTACACTATATATTTGGGTATTTGAATTTGATCTCAGTAACAAAGCCTTTAATATTCATATTATGGATTTGTCATATTTTTGCAATATTTGTACCCTTTAGCTTAAATTGAACCATTTTAACCGAACCGAACCATGGTTCAGAGATACTCGTGAACCGGTTCTTGAACCGGTACAAGCTTTTTCTAAGTGGTTCGAACCACTAAACCGAACCACACCGATTTTTGGAGTGGTTTGCAGCCCTGGTATTTAACAAAACATTGACATGGAAAAACCACATTTTTAGCGCAGTAGGAAAAGTGTATGGTATGCTCCGTACACTCAGGTTAACAGAGTACTTCACACCTTTAAACATTAAGCAGTGTTTGCATTATTCAACTTTGCGTTCAACAATTGCGTTCAACTCAACGCAGGGTTGCACGAAAAAAAAGTTGAATGGCTAAATGTTGGCTGGCGACCAACTTTGTTGAAAGCGATTAGTTGAAAGGCCATTCAACCAAAAGTGGAATGCAAAGTTGAACAATGCAAACACCTTTTTATGGCGAATATTTTGATATTTTTTCATATTTTGATATATTTAGCCATTCAACTTGTTTTTTCGTGCAACCCTGCGCCGAGTTGAACGCAAATGTTGAACGCAAAGTTGAACAATGCAAACACACTTTTAGACTACTTTTGGCGAAAGCGTACTTAATACCTACGCTCCTGTATGGTTGTGAGATTTATGCTAATTGTGACTGTGCCTGTAAAAGTAAACTAAATGTTGCTTACAACAACATTGCTAGATATGTGTTTGGGCTAAAAAGACTTGACTACGTGTCTGAACAAGTGCTCAACATCACTTTTGAAAATTTGCTTAAAGTAAGAGTGCTTGTAGCCCTACATAAAATAATACATACGAAGGAACCTGAATATCTATATCGAAGTCTCCAATTCTTTCAGTCTACGAGGTCAGTACTACTTGTCAACGTCTATTTTTCATTAACTCTATCCGCCTTTGGAACTCACTACCTATAAGAATAAGGTCAATCGACAATGCACTGCGTTGCAAAAATTAACCAGTTTTTACCATAGTTAATTATAATTATATATGTATTAATTGTATGTTTATTCCTCTTGTACGTTCGTTATACTATACTATACTATACTGTACTTTACTTTACTTGTACTTCCTTCGATCTCTCTGTCGCGGCCGCTTCACACGAGTGGTACATTTGTACATTTGGTAGATTTGTACGGTTCTTATTGCCACAAACTAAACTAGGATAAAAACTCTGTTTCTCGTAGATATACTTACCTTAGTTTGACAAAATTTTGTGCAAATGCGTACTCGTGTGACATGGCTTTGTGAATTGTATCCAAAAATTTGAATGCTTAAAAGATTCGATCTCTATATATTTAATGGTTATTAATGTTTTCATGTTTCTTAGCAAATATTTTTAATCTTTGTTTTTCTTTTTAATATGCAACTTCTATTACTTAGTTATTATGAATTGTGACTAGCACTATAAAATAATTTTGTACAATTGTTGTGCTAGGATGAAGTTTCCAAATAAACAAACAAACAAACAAACTTCGGGATGGCTTTCGAATGGTAAAATAGAAAATTCTGGAAAAGTCGGAAAAATCCAGAAGAACGCGAAATATTTGAATTTTTTCCGCCAAAATTTTCTATTTTATCGCATGATTTGATGATTTTGGACAATGTTAAGGTGGAAAATTCGTTGTGAAGCTTGGAAAATTTCGGATAATTGTGAAATTCATTGTGAACATGAATCAATTGCGAACAATTTTCTCCTAAATATGTTTCATAACCGATTCGAACGGTTGCTGCCTTTTTGGAAAGGTGTTTAGAAGGAGTGCACAAAGTTTTAATTTTTCCGATACGTGGGGCAGGAGTCGAGCTCCGCTAAAAAATGCATTTGGTACGTAGGTAGCCTTTTGCCTAAATTAGCATATAGGATCCATTTTTCCCGTTAAGTGGGCCAGGGACCGATCTATTCGAAAAAGTCTTAATTATTTGCTTGAAATTTGGCACGTAGGTAGCTTATTGTCTGGGTTAAAATATAGGATTTTTTTCTGATAGGTGGACCAGATACCGATCTATTGGAAAAAATCGTATTTATGGTGCGATTTGCTTGAAACTTGGCACGTAGGTAGCTTATTGTCAGGGTTAAAATATTTGATACTCTTTTTTTGATAGTTGGACCAGGGACCGATCTATTCCAAACATTTTTATTTATGGTCTGATTTGCTTGAAATTCGATACCCGTATTATAGATATGCGTAGAATAGAATTGAGTCATTGTTTTACAGTTCGAAAGGTGTTTGAAGGTGCCAAAAACATGCGGGTATTGGCTATTTAACAATAGTTATTACACACGCCAGCAAAAATAGAAACAAATTTGATGCAGCTAATGTTAACGCTATTTTTGACGTAAGCATAAAGTTTCCGTCCAGATTTTAAGAAAAACAAGGTCAGTGTCAAAGAATCGCGATTTTGCAATAGCTGAGAAGCTCTAGCAAAAAACAAAGGGTGGTAGAACCTCCCACTTAGGCTTAGATTAAAGAAAGAAATTCTAGGCTACTTAGATTCCAGACGGCCCCAAGATGTTAATATGTTAACACAAAGCTTTGTTTTGTATTACCAAACTATGAAATAGCATCTGCGAAGTACAGCATAGAAGCGTATTTGAACGAAAAAGCCGCCGAACACATATCTATGTAAAGTAAACAAGCCCCCCGCTGCATCCCTTATTCGATAGTTCCGAACCATTTCTAAATTCGTCACTTTAGATATAGATTTGTAGTGAAAAAAGCTGAAAAAATTAGTTTCTTAAAAGTACCACTTTTCGCCGATTTTGGACTAGTGGGGATCTAGTTCCTATCGGACTAGTTCCTTTTTGGCAATAAAGATCTAGTACGGAACTAGAAATTTGATTCACTAGTCCACGGTTTCCCTGCAGGGACTAGTTTGAATTGCATGTACTTTGATGTGTTTGAATCTTTCATGGTACAGAAGATTTGCTTACGGGTGAAAAAAATTAAAAATCATCCGTGGATATATGTAAATATATTTTTATAAACGCTTTGAAGCATAGACATTTTTAATATTAAAAAATAAATAAAATAATTTTTTTGTATTTATACAAATGATGTTCAAGGCACATTGACCCACCTGTACAAAAATCGTGGCGCGTCATGGACAAAAATTTTACAATTTCGGACCGAAAAATGTGAAAACGAGCTAAGTTGCCACGTTACATTTGTGAACTTCTGATAAAACCACATATGTTTGTGATTTAAGAAGTTTTGATTTTATTAAAAAAAATTAATTTATTTTCCTGCAGAAAACTTACACTTTTATTTAATGTTTATTAAAATTACACCTTAAAATACTAGTTAGTGGTTGAAAGATTGGAAGGGAATAGAGAAATTGAGTGTTTTGTCAAAAACTACCAAAAATTACCAAAATTCGAGATAACTTATTTTACTGGATATAGAGAAATAATTGCAACTTTTCACTTGGCTAGCAGAGATTTCTTAAATTTTACATTTTAGAATTTTTGTGTCGGACTGAAAAAGTTGCGCTTGTTGGTGATGAATTTGCGGGGAGATGTGCTGCGGTTATTATGAATGAATTTATTTGGCCTTGAAAAATACGCGCATGCGTTTATGAATGAAATGGTTATTGTTGTATTTGAATATGTGCGTGATTATGTACACACGTGCATATGTATGTATGTATGTACGCTGAGTTGTAGATATGTATGCATGTGCGTAGTATTTGGCAGAAATATGCACATACGTATGAATGTACATTAGGGTGGGTCATTTTAACAAATTTTTCTTGGATCAGAAACGGCTACCCGGGAAAAGTGGCCTACACTTACTAGAAATACACCTGCAAAATCCGCTTCGAATTGGTCAATATCTTCTGTTCGTTCTTCAGGCTTCAATTTTTGAAATTTAAGGTAAAATGACTAAAACTTAGACTTATTCTAAAGTGGATCCGGTTGTTTTACTAATACATTTTAAAGATCGCTTGTCGAAGGAAAATCTTTATTAAAAAACAAAAACTCAAAATCAAGACTCAGAAGTGGGTTTTTTTAAATACCAACAAAAAGGGTGGGGGTAGAAATGCCTGCTTTAGAGAAAAAACGTTGATAGCATCAGAGCAACTGCTTACCTTCATTTATCTCACCTTGAAAAATAACCACTTTTCCTGAATCACCCTCCTGTAAGGCATAGTATAAATTTACACATGTTATCAAAAAAAAAAGAAAGAAATGAAAATCTTTCTTAAACCATTAGGAAGTTTGCCCACTTTAGAAATAACTTTCCGCTATAAACATTTACCACATAATTAACGAATAAATAATCTTTATTGGCTTTTGGAAACTTTCAGCAAATTTTTTCT